AAGTTACTCATACCAAAAGTCATGCTCTTTAAGCATCTCTTGAATAATCATAAATATTGGAAGTTACTCATACCAAAAGTCATGCTCTTTAAGAGACATGATCCATATGAAAAGACACATCTTTTCATCTACATTCTCTAGAATATTCCACAATATTCTACACAATTCCAATAATTTCAAATATTAAGTGGTTTAAGTTTGGCTTAATTTCTCATTCACCAAACAAGGAATTTCCACTTAAATCATTTCAATTGGTCACAACCAATTTCCAACACAAAATTCCAACAATTTATTTTTCGGATTTTGCTTCTCATATCCTTCACAGTTTTTCTTGAATCATGTCATTCAATGGAGACCTTTTTGAGATCTTCTCATGGTTTCCTGTAAAAGATATACAGGCCCTCGTTCGTTTGCAAATCAGCAAATGAAGTGTTGGTGGATGAAGACTTGTTCATCAAAAATCAGTACGAAAACATGCAATCCGTGGATTGTATATTTTTGAAACTATTGGCTTACTATTTTTTATGACGAGGGACCGAAGTGTTCTAAAGAGTTGGACGTATGGTATTAGAGCAAGGAAATGTTCTGAATTCGAGTCTCGCAACTAACCATTTAAATTGAATTCCAACACCTTTGGACAATTTTTTTAAGGATAATGCTATATATGTGTACACCTTGTGGTGTACATAATCTTTTACACCCCCTCTCACATGGAGAGAGGCCCACAAATATTTTATTGTGTGTGGGGCCTCCCTTCATGTAAGAAAGGTGTAAAAGATTGTGTAAAATATTGTGTACACATAGCACAATCCCTTTTTTTAACTGAATTTTTAAAACTTGTGACACTCATATGATACTTCCTACATGCCTCGTGTACTTGCACGCGTGTGGCACATCTAGTGCACGTGCTTGATAAGCATGGTGTGCGTTATAATTTTAATGTTTTTTTTTTTTTTTTTAACTTTCGTCCCTGACCTTTAGAATATGATACTAATTCACTATTTTTTTTTAGCAGCAGACATCTCGCCCACGTACTTAGTGCAAATCACATTGTAATATTTAAATGATATGCATTTGATATTATCTAACCGCTAAATCATGCTGGTGTAAAACATTTCATGGGCAGCAATTGCAGTAGCTAAGAAGGTGTTAATCATTGATTGGGATGTACAACATGGAAATGGCATCCAAGAAATATTCGAGAAATTATTTCATAGACATGACTGGGTGGAAAGTTTCATCTTGGCACTGGAGCTGCTGATGAGGTTGATACCATGGGCAGAAGGACACTGTGTAAATGTTCCGGGAGTTGAGGAGGAGTCGGCAACAATGACTGTGTTTGCGTTTCAGCGTGCTGTTATTTCACTGTTTTATTGCCTGAATATGATGGCCGCAAGTAAATGGCATTTTTTATTTCCTGATTATTGTCTCTCAGATTATCTTTGTTTCAAATTCGTAAGGCGAATATTGACGAGCAGAGACTTTCTTGGGCTTGTAATCAAGCACAGAATTAATTTTCAAAAACCGGTTTTTAGGGTTATTATGGGATAATCTGCTGTTCGACATGGCACCATCAATATCTGTCATCAATAACCAGAATTCCATCAAGCCAATATTCGACGCTCCTATTCATGTAGAAACCCTTTTGCGTGTCTGTTATGGACACATGCCGGATATTAACAATCTTCGGACACTTCAAGAAATTTGTTATATTGAGATAATTTTAAATTAAAATACATTATGTGGGAATGATTATGATGGATAAAATGATTTTGGTGTCAAGTCACTGGCCTCACCATGTCTGAATTAAATCTGTTTCCTCGTCAACTTCGTTACAGTGAACGACTTCAACAATCTAAAAAAATAAAAATCACCTATTGTGTTTGGAAATGAATGAAAACAAGGGCAAACTTGGCAATTGATCAAACAATGAATTATGGACTCTGCAATTGTATGAAAAGAAGTCAGATTTTTGTTGGAATAAAGAATTCATATTTGACCACCAATGGTTGGATTTTTCCTATTAAGTCAAATTTAGTTGTTCCTAGAAATAGGCACTATAGAACTACAAGAGAAAGAAAAATGCTTAATATAGTTGCATATACATTATTTTGAATTTGTACATAAATATTCTAATATTTTTTTCCAAATACTTGTAAAATGGGATTTTCTATGTCCTTAATATATCAATGACAGGTACTTCTTGTGTCAAAATTTTGGCGTGCACAAGGGGTGACACGTGCAAGAGACGTGCTCCATATATCTTGATAATTAATTTCCTATTGTGAAACTAAATGAAAGATTTTTCTTCACACAGGGATTCTGGGGAATGAACAGACCTGACCATAGCACCTGGAGTAAAGTTCAATGCTAGATAATTCTAGCATCTTAATCCTTTGCCGATTTCTGCCAACCAAAGCTCTTCCTGAGAATGTGAGGAATTTCGTTTCTTGCAATCTCAGGGAAACGTTGTTAACTATAGCTTTACTTCTTGAAATGGGCTATCAGATAGATATTTTCGTTTCCACCATTAATTGATGAACTTTTGTGTGCAATATGTCATTTCTGAATATTTTTCTTCTGCTCATCATTAGGTGGGATTTGGTGTCCTTGAAACTGGAGCATATGGAGTCCCTCAGTCCCGGAAGAGAGCATTTATATGGGCAGCCTCTCCAGAGAGTCCCTTCCTGAGTGGCCAGAGCCAATGCATATGTTCTCTTTTCATGGAGATAAACTGGCTGTTGGCAATGGAGAATTTTTTGAGATCTTTTCATGGTTTTCTGTAAAAGACATATACATGTTATCGTTCGTACTCAAATTAGCAAATGAACTGCTGGTGGATGACTTGTTCATCAAAATCAGTACGAAAACATGCTTTTATGTGGATTGGATTTCTGATTCGATATTTGTTTTGAGGGAGATTATTGCCTTACTATTTTTATAACACGCAACTAAATTGTTCTAAAGAATTGGACAAGGTATTAGAACAAGTAAATGTTTTGAGTTCAAGTCTCTCCGAAAAGCTACTTAGACATTTTTTAATATAATTTATAAAACTTGTGACACTCACCGATGCTTCCTACACATGCCTTGTGCACTTGAACGTGCGTGGCACGTCTAGTGCACATGCTTGACACGCATTGTGTACGTTTTAATTTTAAGGACTTTTTGCACTTTTCATTTACAACCTTCTAGAAAATGTTACTAATCTATTCTCAACCTTTTTTGAGCATCAAATACCCAACCCTTTACTTAATTGCAAATCACGTCACCATTGACAGAATTCGTCCC